TGAAGCTATGATAGCCCTTCGACAACAAATGGATCATAGTAACCACGACATGGTAAATTTGTTGTCTACACAAATGCATAACATACTCACACCCCTGTAGAGCTGATGAGTAAAATAGGTGATAAAATTAATGATAATCGGCTCTCGAGAGATACGAGTGTTAATCTGAATGGCCTCGAAAATCCAACCATCAATGAAACAAATATTCGGGAGATTAGAAATCGTATCAATCTCAACCAAGGGAGACCTCTAAGAAGTGCTGAGGAAAATTTAGATCATATAGTCGAGAGGGTACTGAATAGGCACGGATTTGAAACGGGGCGAAATGAGCACCCTAACATTGTATCTTCCTTTCTTGACTATATTACCCAATCTAAGCTACCCAGGGGGATGAAAATCCCAAAATTCTCGAAATTTGCAGGAGAGTTAGGTGAATCCACCGTAGAACACATAGCGAGATATCTAGTCGAGTGTGGAGACCTAGTGGGTAATGAATATTTGAAAATGAAATATTTTCCAAGTTCACTAACCAAACATGCTTTTACGTGGTTCACGACTTTGCCACCTAATTCGATAATTACTTGGGCACAATTAAAAAGGAGTTTCCACGAAAACTTTTTTCGAGAGGAAACCAAGATGAGAATAGTTGATTTGATGAATATAAAGAGGCAACATCATGAGACACTAGATGAATATTTGAACAGATTTAGGCAATTAAAGTCTCGATGTTACACGAATATTCCAGAGCATGAGTTGGTAAAAATTGCAGCCACCGGGTTGGATTTTTTGATTCGAAAGAAACTTGTGAATGAACAATCGAGAGATATGGCTCAACTAGCGGAGAAAGTGAGACGAATTCAACAAATTCGAGCAGAGAAGGAAAGGTTGAGAAAATTTGACAAGTTCGTTCGAAAAGAAAAAGTGGCATATTTAGACAATATGGACGTTAACAATGACAATTATTTCGAATGTCTAAATGAAGAAATGGAAGTGAACTTAGCTGAATTGCAACCCGGGCCAACCTATCAATGCCAATTATTAAAACCTGAGGAAAATAATATAGAGGTCAAATCGAATAGAAAATATAGCTTCGATATAACGAAAGCTGATAGAATATTTGATATTTTACTGAAAGATAAGCAAAGTATACTTCCAGAAAATCATAAAATTCCTCCTTTTGAACAAAGGAAAGGGAAAATTTTTTGTAAGTATCACAACATGTATGGTCACTAGACTAATAATTGTGTACGTTTCAGGGACATGATCGAGAAAGCGATTACTGATGGTCGCTTGGCTTTCGAGGAGAACGAAATGAAAGTTGATACTGATCCATTCGCTGCACAAGTAGGATATGTGGAACCTCTCCCGATGGGGATCAATGTGCTTGAAATCGATATAGTTGATCTGGTTGTGAACGAAGAGGAAGTTGTTGAACCTATTACGGATGAAAAACTGGAAGAGCTCTTAGATGATTTCGTGAAAGAACAAGAACCCATTTATCTGAAAGAGGGGAACAATTTGCTTGATTTCCTTTCGAGAAAGAAAGAAGATGATCGGGAAGTTATGCTTTGCCCGAGATGTAGTACTGTGTTTGATAGATCAGCAGCTAAGGCTTTCGAGGAATCTGAAATTATGAAAAATTATAAAGCTGAGAAGGCTCGAGGAAAGTCGAAAGTGAACACTAGCATAGTGATGCGTCAAGTTCACATGCCACAAGGTAGTTGCGCCTATGGCTCCCATCGGAAAGTTGGAGATGTACAACTCCTCCCGAGATGGTAATACATACCTACCCATTGGGAAGTGGACTTCTCCACAAAGGCCCAATGCTTGAATGGGTTGGGGAAAGTAAATCATGAACTACTCGAAAAACCCATTTTCTAGAGGACCCAGATTTATGCCAAACATGCAGGGAGGTTCTGGAAAAGGAATTAAATATCCTTTTAATGGCCTTACCAAGACTCAATGGAGAAGGCAACAAAGAATGAGAAAGGCAACTTTTGAGGGAAGCAAAGGTAACCGATTTTCAATTCCTGTACCTTACGAAAGTGAGGCATCTAAGAAATTCGCAGAGGATGAGGAGGATTTGATTACAGATTGTTTTGAAAGTGGCTTCGAGGATTCTCTCGAAGATATTTGTGGAGTGGTGTCAATCCTACCCTCTGAATATGTTGAAGCAATGGAATCTATGAATGAACAAGAAGACATACATCGTGAAGATTTTTTCGGTGACCCCAACTATGAGTCAAAAATAATATGGGTGAGTCAAATATCTCGAGTTATTCCAAAGTTTAATTCAGCAATGTTCGATTCACCTACCCCAGAAATGAAGGACCATCTGAAACCTTTGCTGTTGACCCTTATGATCAAAGAAGTTGAAGTCAACAAAGTTCTGGTGGATGGAGGTGTTGCTATAAATATACTCCCATAGACGATGCTGAAACATTTTGGGAAAACTTTGGCAGATCTGAAACCTCACAATATCCTCATTTCTGATTATGCTAGAAAACCTTCTCAACCGGAAGGGATGATACTGTTAAATGTGCAAATTGGGAGTGTGAGAAGGACCACCATGTTTATTGTGACTCCCTCGAAAGCTAACTTCAATGTGCTGTTAGGAAAAGAATGGATCCACGGAATGGGAGCATTACCTTTGACAGTACACCAAAAAATATTTTTCTGGAATGATGATGAATTAGCAGTGTTGGATGCAGATCAGAAAGAGTATGAGACGGAAATGTATTTCGCAGATCAACAAATTACTGCATTCGCAAAAACTAAGCCTTTCGACGCCATAGACCCATATGTCTTGGAGGCAGAAGAGGGTGTTAAGAAGACTTTCTGTTGGGATGTTCGAAGAGGATTTGTTATCCACAAAGCCGAAATTGACTCAGCTTAAGTGCGAGAATGATGAGACAAGATCCTTGTTCGAGCTTCTTAGCTTGAATTTCGGCCTACATGGCCGAGAGAACGGCCAATAAGGCCGAGGAAGGTAGTGAAGTCGAAAGAACCCAAGGGGGCACGGATTCGATGAATATCGAAACTATAACAGCTATGCAGGTCGACAAAAAAGAAAAAACCCAAAAAGAGGTAATCGAAACAGCTGAGAAAGAGTCTCCGAGAGTAAGACTCGAGGATGAGCAGAAGAGGAATTTGGAAGGAATCGAAGAAAGACTTGATTGTATCTTTGACGATGCTCCTCAAGGATTCGAGAAAATGGAAAATGATGGGCTTAAAGTGGAATCTCAGGATCCTCTGGAGGAAGTCAATCTGGGTACAATCGAAAAGAGGAGAATCACCTATGTTAGCAAACTAGCGGAGAAGAGTGTTAAAGAGAAAATTGTGCAGGTCCTGCACGAATATAAAGATTGCTTCACTTGGGACTATGAAGAAATGCCTGGTTTGGATCAAAATTTAGTAGAACATAGGTTGCCTATGATTTTGGGGAAGAAACCAGTGAAACAAAGCCCACGAAGGTTTGCTCTGTAGGTGATCGAAAAAAATCAAAGAAGAGATCGAGAGGCTACTGAAGGCCAAATTCATTCGTACTTCGAGGTACGCCGATTGGGTATCAAACATTGTGCCTGTTATAAAAAAGAATGGAAAAATGAGGGTATGTATCGATTTTCGAGATTTGAATGCAGCCACGCCTAAGGATGCATATCCCATGCCTATTGCGGAAACAATGATTGATGTCGTTCCAAGTAATCAAATTTTGAGTTTATTAGATGGATATTTTGGGTACAACCAGATTTATATTGCTAAAAATGATGTGTCGAAAACTGCCTTTAAGTGCCCAGGTGCCTTGGGAACTTACGAATGGGTAGTAATGCCTTTTGGCTTGAAAAATGCTAGTGCAACATATCAAAGAGCAATGAACTTAATTTTTCATGAGTTAATTGAAAAATTCATGCAAGTTTATATTGATGACATAGTGATTGGATCGGAATGAAAAATATATCACATACAACACCTGAAATTGTGTTTCGAGAGAATGAGGAAACATAGGCTGAAAATGAATCCATTGAAATGTGCTTTCGGTGTTTCAGCAGGGGATTTCCTAGGGTTCGACGTACACCAGAAAGGCATTGAAATAGATAAGAACAAGACTCGAGCCATCATGGAAACTAAGCTTCATTCAAATAAGAAGGAAGAATTTTGATGGGACGAAAATCATCAAAAGGCATTCGAGGAGATCAAGAATTATTTGATCAACCCTTTAGTGATGGTGCCACCCTCTGAAGAAGGAAAGCTAAAATTGTATGTCTTGGCCAATGATTCGACTATCTGGTCTCTTTCTAGAATTGCATATTTTGAAGAGCCATCTACCTCACTAACTCCTCCAATGAAGGTTCAGAAGTAGAAGGTTGAGGAGCTAGCGGTGTAGGAGCTTCATGTTGTCTCTGCTGCTGCTGTTGGATAGGGGGAGGCACATATCTGCTAGGACCAGCATTGTTTTGGAAGGGAGGGGATGGTTGTTGTTGCTGTTATTGCTGGTTAGACCATTTGAGATTGGGATGATTTCTCCAACCTGGATTGTACCTATTGCTGGAGAGGTCATAACTTTGCTGTTGTTGTTGTTGGACAAGAGGTCTGTTGTAAATATTTGTAGCATATGCCTCTAGATGCTCATTTACTCATGACTGCTACAAAGAAGGGCATACATTTGTGTGATGATCAATTGAAGAACAAAGGTCGCGGACCCTTGCCACAGATGAAGATTTTTGATTTGCAGCAAGTTGAATCACCAGGTTGACCAATGCATCAAGTTTACTCTCTAGCTTTTTATCTGCATTAGTGGCCACATCATGAACTCCTCTGAAGACAATTGCATTGTCATTTCTGGTACTAAATTGTTGAGAGTTGGAGGCCATTTTTTCTATCAAGTTCCTGGCTTCAGCTGGGGTCATGTCACAAAGTGCTCCACCACTTCCAGCATCTATCATACTCCTCTCCATGTTATTCAGCCCCTCATAGAAATATTGCACCAACAAATGCTCAGAAATCTGGTGGTGAGGACAGCTTGCACACAACTTGTTGAATCTCTCCCAGTACTCATACAAGCTCTCTCCACCAAGTTGCCTGATCCCTGATATATCTTTTCTAATTCTAGTGGTCCTCGTGGCAAGGAAGAATTTCTCCAGAAACATTCTTTGCAGATCATCCCAGCTAGTGATGGACCTGGGAGCCAAATAATATAGCTAATCTTTAGCAACTCCCTCCAATGAGTGTGGAAATGCCTTCAGGTAAATGTGATCCTCTTGAACATCAGGAGGCTTCATGGTAGAACAAACAATATGGAACTCCTTCAAATCTTTATGTGGATCCTCACCTGCATGACCATGAAACTTGGGCAACAAATGGATTAGTCCAGTTTTAAGCACAAAAGGAACATCTTCTTCAGGATATTGAATGCACAAACTCTCATAATTAAAATCAGGTGCAGCCATCTCCCTAAGAGTCATCTCATGGGGTCCATTATAAGGTTGTTCACCCATGTTTTCTGTTTGAATTAAATCAAGCTCAGATGCAACAGTTACACTAAGACTATCACTATGGCTATCACTGTGACTATGACTATCACTATCTAAAGATGGAATGATATGCTCTCTAATTAGTCTATGGAATTTCCTATCAATCTCAGGATCAAATGGGTGCAAAAAATCAGGGTTGTTCCTAGTCATGCACTACATGCAACACATGCATCAGGACACGTGAACAGTAGGGGTAAAATGGGAAATTTTCATGAAAACTCAGAAAACATCAAAAATAATGCACCAATATCATCCTAAAATCATTAGAAACTACCACAAAAAATTTGAGAGCAAAATTCAAAGCCTAGCTATATGAACTACCTAAGAAAAGTTTGGAAAAATAGGGAAATAAAACTTCAAAAATAGAAAAAAAAATAGTAAACGGCCTTTTTTTGAAAATCTAGCTGGGGCCAGACGACATTGCAGTCTGGGTTTGATAGATCTTTTTTTTCTACACAAAATGAAAAAAAAAGTTTGCCTAATTCCGATAACCAAAGCCAAAGTTATGGTCATTTGAAGTTTTGCTGAAAACTATTTTTTACACAAAATATAAGTTGAAATAAGTTACCACACAAAATTTGAGGCAAAAATAACAATTCTAGCTATCAAAACCAAAAATCACAATTTATTGGAAAATTCTGACATTATTCAGCACTATTCACCGCCACATGAAATGCACCAGATTTGCAACATTTTCACACCATTTCCCACAATTTTAGAACCTGAACAGAGGAGTAGTAGGGAGAGAAAACAGAGCTGATGGAGGAAGCCCATGGGCCAAGGGCCCAACTACTAGGGCTATGGCAAGGAGGATATAAGAGGAGTAGGCGCAAGCTCAAGGAAAGCCCATCACATTGTTTAGTTGGGCTTTGACTCAAGCCCAAGTAGAATAGGAGTAGTGTAGGGTTGGGCCTTAGAGCCTTGTATTTCTTTAAGGCCTTGTATTTCCGGCCATTTAGATTAGGAGGTTCATTTGATGGTCATTTAAATTTAGGGTTATTTAGGTTGCATGTGTATTTGCATTAGAATGTAATTAGTTTCACATTTGGTTTACATTTCGGCCATGTGCAACACATGCACATGTGACCGAAATGCAACTCAAATGGAAGCCTAATGACATTCCAAATGAAGTAAACATGGTGTGATCCGGGTTTAGGCTCCAAAATTTGAATTTTGAATTCAAATTTTGGGCGCCTAAGGTTAAGTGAACCATACCATGGTTTCACTTAACCTTAGGCTAACCCATGGTTCACTTTGACCTAATTTTCTCTATAAATTTTATATGGCCGAAACATGTAAACACTTTTGGATTATATACATGAGACTTCTCTTCTTAGAACTCTCTCCCTCCGAAAGTCACTTGATCCTTTCTCTACCCTTCTTGAGCTCCTCTCTTTGTACAGCTAGGATCACTCACCTTCTTCCAGACTTGGCTAGAGCAAGCCTAGGTCACCTTGGTGCAACTTGGAGTCTTCTTCCTTGACAACCTTCCAAGGAATCCGAGAAGCATTGCATTGTTCTTGAGGATTCCCAAGTGGATTCTCATCAAGTGGTATCAAGAGCTTCAGTCTTCAAGAGATAAGTTCATCATCTTGTCTTTTGAATTTTGATCCGTGGTTCATCTTGTTCTTGTGTTCATCTTGTTCATATTGTTCATCTTGTGTTCTTGTCATTTGAGAGTTTAATCTTTTCTAGATCTAATTTTTGCCTTAAAAATTTGATGGATCTAGTATCATGTTGCTTGAATGATTCATTTATGCGTTTATGACTATTTGCTTCCATGAATCATGCTCCATCTCTTTTGCCTTTTAGGAAATTCTGCCTATGATCTTTTTTTTTGCTTTACTTGAGTCATAATTGAAATTTTGTTCGGTCAATATATGTTTGAGTCATTTTATTTTGAATCCATGTCTAGAAGTAATGTGTAGTTCTTTATTGTTCACCATTCTTAGCTAAGCTTGTTTAACCTTTTTTTTTCATTTTGCATTTTGAAAATATTTTCTGGATTTGGCCGAGATCCTTAGTGTTGTGTGCTCATAATTTTGTGTTTGAATTTGAGTTCATAAACTACTATTAGTTCATTAGTAGTTTTCTTAGATTTTTAGGTTTCCTATACTAGAAAATGTCTTGAAATTTTTTTCTCTAATCCGTGAGTTTGATTTGTGTGTGAGACTTGTGTGCTGAAAATTGTGTTTAAGTTTCAATTTGAAATTTGAATTGAGAGCCAAAACCGTGCATGTGCTAAACAAACAAGCAAGCCTAAAAAGCATGTTGCATTTACATTTCATGTTAAAGAAAGTAACAAAAATATTTACTTCAATTGCAATCCCACCATCGACCAAGAGAAGGACCCTTTGAGCTTAACGATGTATTCGCAATAATCAATGCTATCCCTGCCATCGCTCTCCTTGCCTATGGTTTCTTTCATAAGGGATTGGTCCCTGGCCTCTGCTTCAGTACGGTGCGTGTATTCTCAAATTCTAATCTAATAATTTCTTTTTTATTTAATTTATTTATATATTATTTTCCCCGTTCCAAATAATAAGTCTATCATTCGAGTATATTTTTTTACAAAAAAAAATGGTTTCTTTAATTAAAGATTTGATTTTTTAAACAAGTTCTTAATAACGAATTTTATAAATGAAAAAATATGATTAAATACTAAAATGGTTAGCCAAATTTCTAATAGAGTGGGTGATATTTTGTATTGATAACTTATTTATAAAAGAATATACAATTTTAAGAAAATATGTAGACCTTTATCTTAATTCTATTATTTTGTTTTCATTGTTTTTATTATTTCACAATTATCACCTTTTGATTGCAGCTAAATCTGTTAGTCAATTATGTTGTGACAATCATGCTCAAATGTTTGTAGTGGTTGATTGATCATCCAAATTTTTTGTCAAATCAAGTTTACATTGGTGGCGATTCATACTCTGGTATTCCTATTCCAGTGATTGTTCAAGAAATTTCACAAGGTAAAAAAACCCGTATATGATTCAACCATGGATAAATATCCGGGTTAGAATCTTTATCTCTTATGAGTATATTTATTTTAACTTTTTTTCTTATAAATATTAGGAGTTCTGAATATGTTTATGTTAGAGATTCAAACTAGTGTTATATGTGTAAATTTATCTTTAACATTAATTATTAAATTACCATTATTTATCCTATTTTGCTGATCCATTACCGTTTTTCAATAATTATATATTTGCTTCCATTTAGGCATTGATCTCATCATCATTATTATTATATAGTAATAAGATTGACAACAAATAGTGCGTCTTAAAGCATTTGATTTTTCGTTAACTGTTTGTACTGGTGTTTGAGAGTAAAGTTTCAGGAGCTGTTTGCCCTACAAATAAGCATGATTTTTTTTTTAAAAAAAAATCAATCTACATCGGTTCTCAAGAGAACCGATGTAGATTTAAGCATAAATCTACATCGGTTTTCCAGAGAACCGATGTAGATTTATGCTTAAATCTACATCGGTTTTTCAGAACCGATGTAAAAAACTATACATTTTCTACATCGGTCTATTCTACATCGGTTCTAAAACCGATGTAGATGGCTTTAGAGAACCGATGTAGAATGTGCATATTGTAGTAGTGAGGTGATGAGTGGAAAACTGCTTTTAAAACTAAATTTGGATTATATGAATGGTTAGTAATGTCTTTTGGGCTTACTAATGCACCAAGTACATTCATGAGGTTGATGAATCATGTCCTTAGGGATTGCATTGGTAAATTTGTAGTTGTTTATTTTGATGATATTTTAATCTATAGCAAAATTCTAAGTGACCATGTGGATCACTAAGGCAAGTGCTGCTTGTGCTTAGAGAAAATCACTTGTTTGAAAATGTAGACAAGTGTACCTTTTGTGTGAATAATGTTATATTCTTGGGATTTGTAGTGAGTGAAAATGGAGTTCATGTAGACCCTGAGAAAATCAAAGCTATTAGCTGAAGCATTTTATTAAACCTTATGATGTATTCGTGTTCTGTTGAAATAATGTCATTAAATATATGTTATCTAAACCTATCCTGCACTCTCGAGTTGGGAAATGGGCTCTTGCATTGACCGAGTATTCGTTAACGTTTGCTCCCCACAAAGCCACAAAAGAACAAGTAATCGTTGATTTTCTCGTGGATCACTCGAATTTAAACAAACAGGTTAATTATTTAACCACGAAATCATGGGAACTATTTTTCGATGGATCGAAACACGAGTTAGGAGCAGGAATCGGATTACTGATTATTTCCCCAGATGGAATCCCAACTAAATTCACATTGAGAACGAAATCCGAATGCTCGAATAATGAAACTGAATACGAAGTAGTGATTACTGGGCTAAAATTGCTTAAAGACTTGGGGGCAAGGAACATAATCATTCGAGGTGACTCACAACTCATGATTAAGCAGTTAACTCGAGAATATAATTGCATGAATGAAAAGTTACTCGAATGCAAGTCTCGAGCTATAACTTTGTTAAATTCATTCGATGAGGTCCAATTAGAACATATCTCTCGTAATGAGAATGAAATTGCGAATGAACTAGCTCAGATTGCATCCG